GAGACCCACGAGTGATACTAACACCATCAAGGTAATGGGAATTGATGTTATTAACAGATTCACTAACAGCATCAGTTGATCCATATTGATATCCTGTTACTCTACCACATATCTGAGAATAGCTGATACCATTAGATGGGAACTGAACTGAAACACAGCCACCACTGCTTGTTGCTGGTCTACCACAAGTTCTAACTCCTCCTGACTGGTACAGTTTAAACCCAGAAGGACAGTTCTGTGTAGCATTAGACATATCCAGATATGCTAGTCTTGTCCATCCTCCTCCTGAACCACATGGTTCTGGTAATACATTAGTCTGATGAGGCATAACACCAGAAGAAAGGGGAAAATGTACTGAGCTAGCCTCTATTGGTAGACTACTGGTAAAAAGTATCTCAGTTGGTTGGACACTGGAGGAGCTGTCTGTTGATTCACTGCTGGTTAATACAGTTTCTATTGGTAGACTACTGGTAGAAAGCATCTCAGTTGGTTGGACAGTGGAGAAGCTGTCTATCAATTCACTGCTGGTTAATACAGTCTCTGTTGGTTGAATGCTGGTAGAAAACATCTCAGTTGGTTGGACAGTGGAGGAGCTGTCTGTTGATTCACTGCTGGTTAATACAGTCTCTGTTGGTAGACTACTGGTAGAAAGTATCTCAGTTGGTTGGACAGTGGAGAAGCTGTCTATCAATTCACTGCTGGTTAATACAGTTTCTATTGGTAGACTACTGGTAGAAAGTATCTCAGTTGGTTGGACAGTGGAGAAGCTGTCTATGAATTCACTGCTGGTTAATACAGTTTCTATTGGTAGACTACTGGTAAAAAGTATCTCAGTGGGTTGGACAGTGGAGAAGCTGTCTGTCAATTCACTGCTGGTTAATACAGTCTCTGTTGGTAGACTGCTGGTAAAAAGTATCTCAGTGGGTTGGATAGTGGAGAAGCTGTCTGTCAATTCACTGCTGGTTAATACAGTCTCTGTTGGTTGAGTGCTGGTAGAAAGTATCTCAGTTGGTTGGACAGTGGAGAAGCTGTCTATGAATTCACTGCTGGTTAATACAGTTTCTATTGGTAGACTACTGGTAGAAAGTATCTCAGTTGGTTGGACAGTGGAGAAGCTGCTATGAATTCACTGCTGGTTAATACAGTTTCTATTGGTAGACTACTGGTAGAAAGTATCTCAGTTGGTTGGACAGTGGAGGACCTGTCTGTCGATTCACTGCTGGTTAATACAGTCTCTGTTGGTTGAGTGCTGGTAAAAAGTATCTCAGTTGGTTGGATAGTGGAGGAGCTGTCTGTCAATTCACTGCTGGTTAATACAGTCTCTGTTGGTTGAATGCTGGATGGATTGACTATAGATTCCTGTAGCATCTCCATATTACAAAATACATTTCCTTTGCCTATTATATTATAATATCCTGATGAACTCTCTGGCCAATAATTCTTAATATCCTCACAAGATAAAGTAGCTGCCTGACAAGAGGATGATTCCTCATCATTAGCTAATATAATATACAGTACAGGTCATTATAATGAAGATATTGTACTAATGATTACCTGAAGATATGTTAAAGCAGTGGAGTAGGACAATACACAAGAGAACTGGTCTTAACATTTTAAAGAGAGAAGATATCAACTAACTGAATAACAACTAGAGTACAAGCAGATTTATTGACCACACAAATGTTATTGACATGATAAGAATTCTACACATAATTAGTGGTGCAATAAATTGCTATAGTTAAAAGGTTATACATTATCAGTATTCATATCTTTCCTGTGAATGATTTTGCCGATTTATAATGATATTCATTGGGATACCGTAAATGGAAAATTTTTCAGGCCGCCATTGTGGAGGTATACTATCATTAGTTACAAT